GTTTGTTTCTCGGGTTCTTGTTCAAGCATCCTGTTGGGTGAAGATAGCGCCGGACTCACTGCCGAAGCTTGCCTTATTCCTCTCTGCGGAGCTGCTTCGATGTCGTGTTGCTGTGGCAGTGATGAAATTGTAGGGGTAACTAGCGGTGTTTCACCTTTCCTCGACCCGAACTCTTCTTCTGGTTTGCTTTCTCCTTCTGGTTCTTGTTCAAGTAACTTATTGGGAGAAGATGGCAGTGGGCTCACTGCTAAAGCTTGCCTTTTTCCTCTCTGCGAAACTGTTTCGATGTCGTGTTGCTGTGGCAAAAATGAAATTGTAGGGGTAACTAGCGGTGTTTGACCCTTCCTCGGCCCGAACGCTTCTTCTGGTTTGCTTTCTTGTTCTGGTTCTTGTTCAAGTAACTTATTAGGTGAAGATAGCTGTGGGCTCAGTGCTAAAGCTTGCCTTTTTCCTCTTTGCGGAGCTGCTTCGATGTTGTGTTGCTGTGGCAAAGATGAAATTGTAGGAGTAACTAGCGGTGTTTGACCTTTCCTCAGCCCGAACGCTTGTTCTGGTTTGCTTTCTTGTTCTGTTTCTTGTTCAAGTAACTTTTTAGATGAGGATAGCAGTGGGCTCACTGCTGAAGCTTGTCTTTGTCCTCTCTGCGGGGCTGCTTCGATGTTGTGTTGCTTTGGCAAAGGCGGAATTGTTGCTGATACCTGTGCTTTCCCATCTTTCCTTGGTTCTGATGCCCTTTGAGGCTTGGTTTCTTTCTCGGGTTCTTGATCAAGCAACCTATTGGGTGAAGATAGCGCTCGGCTCACTGCTAAAGCTTGCCTTCGATCTCTCTGTGGAGGTGCATCGATATCGTGTTGTTGTGACAAAGGTGAAATTGATGTTGCAGCCTCGGCCGTCTCATGCTTGGTTAGCATGCTGAAAGGAGCCAGTAGTAAGCCGACAGCTGCAAGATGCTTAGGAACTTTTTGCGCTTCACCTTCCATATGCTTCTGCTGTTGTGAATTAGGAGATTTCGGTATGCCAGCAGGAGTTTCTGATGCTCTTTGACTTCTCTCGCTTCTAGGACTGCTTCCCTCTACTATTTGCTGTTTAACGATCTTATTGGGAAACGTTAGCTCTGGACTAAGCGCTTGTTTATTTTCGTGATCCGGTTGCGGAACATCATCTGTACGATCCTGCTTCGGTAAAGATGAAATCTTTGCTGTAACAGCAGATTTTTCTTCATCTGTTTGTCGTTTTTTCTGAAGTCTACTTTCTCCGTCATCTTCCTGTTCACTAAGCTTATTGGGAGTTGACGGCACTGGGCTAACGGCTTGAGGCTGTCTATAGTCAGCATCTGAAGCAACATCAAGACGGTGTTGCTGTGGCATATATGACATTGCTGGTGTAACTAACGACTTTTCATCTCCCCTTTTGCTCAGTGCCTTTCCTGCTTCCTTTTCTTCTTCTGGTTCCTGCTCACTTAGCTTATTGGCAAATGATGTAACTGGGCTAATAGCTTGAGGCCGCCTATGGTCAACATCTGAAGCAACATCGAGATGGTGTTGCTGTGGCATATATGGAACTGTTGGTGTGACTGGTGACTTTTCATCTTCCCTTTTGCCTACTGCCTTTCCTGGTTTCTTTTCTTCCTCTGGTTCCTGCTCAGTCAGCTTATTTGGAGATGACATAACTGGACTGACGGCTTGAGGCTGTTTATAATCACCATCTGAAATGCCATCGAGGAGGTGTTGTTGTGGCAAATATGAAACTGTTGGGGTAATTAGCGAAGTTTCATCTATCCTTTTCCCTGATACCTTTCCTGATTTTCTTTCTTCGTCTGTTTCCTGCTCAGATCCTTCGCGGGGAGATGACAGCTCTGACTTAAAGGTTGGAGCCTGCCCTTGATTCGCGAGTGGAACAGCATCCATATTATGTTGCTCTTGCGAAGATGAGATTTTATTAAGAGCTGACGTCGAAGTCCCTTCTAATTTTCTATTCTCCTTCTGAGGTCTGCCGTACTCTATTGGTTTTTGTTCAATCGGCTGATAAGGATATGCGGATTCTGAGTCATTCTTCGGCAGATCTTTGTGAATGGGTTGTTCCCCCTCCATATGCTGTTGTTGTGCTTTTGATGTTGTTCTCTTTGCTGCTGGCCTTCCTTCTTCTTTTTGCATTTTTGTTTCCTCAAGACTGATAGCTTCTGGTGGCAACTCTTCATCTATCTGCACTTGTTGATCTCCCTTTTCCTTAATTGGCGGTTTTGCCTTTGAAAGCTTCTCGATCAAAGAGAGATTATCCCTTTCTTCGTTTGCTACAGCTGGCCTATTTGCCTCTGCATGTTCCTGTTCAATTAATTTGTTGGGAAATGTAAGTTTGGGGGTAAAGGTCCTGGGTTGCCTATCCGAGGCTTGTATGATGCCGTGCAAGCGATGCTGTCGCGGCATTGATGAAATGTTCGGTGAAGTTGCTGACGTTTCTCCCTTCCTTTGTCCCTTATCCATGTGGATGAGTGCTCGTCCCTGTTCAGTCAGATCGTTGGGGAATGGTCGTTCTGGGTTTTTGAGTGGAAGCCGCCTAGGAGCTATTGGCAACTTATCCTTCAGACGATGTTGACGAGGCAAAGCCGACACTCTTGCTCTAACTACGGCCTCTTCCACTTCTTTCCGTTTCTTCGTTTTTACAATGCTATCGGCTGTAGTCCTTCTAATTTCTATCTTTCTTTTTCTCTCAGTCTCCTTACCTTTACTCGGGATTGCTGCTAACGTATGGGATTTATCGAGCGCCGCTCGACCTAGGTTAGTGGGTGCAGTCGACGAGTTCAGAAGCGTTTCTTCTCGAACAACGACGCATTCGTCGGAGCTCTGGAAATGGTTTGCAGCTGAAACGTAGCGGAGAGGGTAAACTGTTGTTCGGGTGACCATTACCTGCATTTCTGGCACTTCTGGTTCAGAAGGAATATGCCGTCGTCGTCTTCGCTCTCGAACCTTTAAAGTTTCTCGTAAGAGATGATCGGACAGCATCATCAAGCAGTGTACATTTCACTCACTTCGAACACGGTTTCCTCCACATCATCCATTCTGGCCTCAGGAAGTGTAGCGCTCATGGTGAAAGACGTAGCGTAGTGATGTACTATGTTACGGCTCAGAGCTTTTATATGGTAGATTATCACATGGGGAATACCATAATCACAAAAGATTGGAGATCGGTGTCGATTGAGCACAATAGGTTGCGTGGAAGCGGTGTGGTCCGCAGTTTTCCGTTTTACTGCATATAACTGAGTATGTCCGTTGATGTGTCGGTGTTATGTGTTTGTTCGGGTATTCTCAACTCCTGCACTCCTGTTCCCTTCTACTCTGAACGTTCGAGTTTGAAAGGTGTGCAAGCGGTAAATTTGGTCGTGAGTGATAAGAAATGATAACACCTGAAAGCGGCTGGTAGGAAGCCTGGGAGAGAAGAGTTCCTGGAGTGCTTTAGCCTTTCGAGTAACCTCAGCTATTGGCACATTGGTCCCTGTATGCGGTGCGGTATTGTCGGTGATAGAAGCTAATAACAACCGGTAAGAGGTGATAAGGGATCTCATTAGGCAGAGCTACTCCTCTGCGCTTCTCCTATTTGTAGGAGAACATTGACGAAATGATTGAAAGTAGCTCTGAAAGTTGTGAACTGTCGAGCTGATAATGGACCATGAATGCCTAGATTCACCTGGTTTCACTGTGCCTTTCCTTTCAGCTCTAAAACCACGACTTTTTAGTGGCATGAGGGTTGTAGTGAGATCGTTGGTGACAAAGGGTGATAACAGTTGGTAAGAGCAAATAAGGAACAAGAGCCACCTGACGGTAGCTTCGAGACCTTTGTATGCTACCTATGAAGAGAAGTATAGTAGAGTAGGTTGCCAATAAAACGACATCAGTGGGAAACTTAAAGAACTGAACAAAGTCTGAGTCACAGAAGGAGAACAGTACAATTTCTCTATGCTGCACAATTACGACCGCTACTCTGAGCAACTCAGTTCATCTTCTCATCATCCTACTTTATATAATTCGCTAAGTGTGTCTGTTGGTGTGTCGGTGTGTGTGTTGTTTGATCGGAACTTCATGACTCCTGTTCTGGTGGACCTAGAGAGTTCTATTGGTGGGAGTACAGGGGGCAGGATGGGAATACTCGTGGCAGGTAGCAGGACCGGGC